CCGGCATCTGGGTTGCCGTTAAGAAATTTATTTTAAGTTACTATATTAGGGTTATAGGTGATATATATATATACACGTATCTATATATATACATACATATATATATATAGGGTTTAGGGTATGTTGGCCCCCTGTAATGGAAAATCAAATGGAAAAGAACATGGAACATGAAATGGAAACTGGAGGAATATGGTGATTTTCGGAACTTGATTTAAATTACCATATTGGGGAAACCTTATTACTCACTGAGATTTACTGCATAGACCCATTATGGTAACTTGATTTAAGTTCCTTAAGAGCAACCCAGGCATTTGGGGTCTGCAGTGGGCCTTGGCCCCTTGGGTTCACGAAAAGGGCGTCGACTGAGGAAGTTTTTTCTCGGATTTCCCCTTAAATAGGGGGACCCCAATATAGACCCCGATATACTATAATCCTTCTAATGGGGACCCCAAGAAAGTAGGTTCCCCACCAGAACCTCTCATGAGGGCAGCCACTCTGCAGTCCAGGCACGTTGGGGAACATGGTTGGCCCGCCGATTATTGGAGCAGTGTATGACCTGGCAGCTGGGGCAGGCCTTGCCAAACCGCAATTCTGGGCCTTGGCGCATCCTCTTCTTTTGCTGGGTTTGGCTTGGAAGATGCTTGTGGCTGTGCCGGGGCTCGAGGCAGCCTCCGTAGAGCCTCTTCTTCAGGATGCTGGCAAATCCCAGCCAACTTTATTTGCCAGGGCACTGGGAGTCTATGTTTCGGTGGGGACCAAAGCCTGGACTCTTGCATTGTTACTCGTTTGCGTCTTCGGCTGCTCTAGTGCTGCAATCACTGCCACTGCCATTAACATGCATCGGTGTGCGTACTCCTCAACAGCAATCGGGCTTACTGCCATTCCTGCCGGACTTACGCAGTCGCTGGTATCACAATGGGCTGGACACTTTGCAAGCTCGGCGAAGAATCGCGAGGCAGTGCTGCTTGGATGTCCTGGAATGTTGTCAATCATGGCAATTTGTGTTGCCACTGTCTCCTATTTCAGCAGGAGTTTGCTGCTTCCTATCATTCTCATTCTCATAACCTGCAGTGCAGCAAATGGAGCAGTTGATCCCACGTCAATGTCGATGATGGCTGACCTGGCCAAAGCAGAGTCAATCGGCTATGGTCAGGCAGTCACAGCATCAGAGATGGCTGTAGCCTTGGGCCTGGGCATGGGCCCTTGCTTGGCCCACGTCATGCGCGACGAAGATCTCTGGTCACTCTGCTCTGTGATAGGCCTGTGTGCCTTGCTATCTTGCGCAGCATCTGTCCGGACATTGCGCGGCATCCCTCACAACGAACATGACGGAGCTTGTGAATCCAATGATGCGCAATGATTTGCGCGCTTCGCCCCTCTCTATGTCTCACCCTTTCCGCAATCGATTCGGTCTCAAAGTCAAGATAAGCGATTCAAGCTGTCTGGCACGCGCTCGGTAGAGGAGGAGAGAACCATTGTCTCGCTCAATTGGCTCAAAGCGCCTCCTCAGCATGTTGCCCCGAACAAACCTTATATGTGCGGAGCAAGCAAGACTTTATGCTCCTAGATCGTGGACAAGTCTCACCAGGCTCTGAGCAACAGCTTTTGTCAGCTGCCATTTTCAATTTCCAGCCATGGCGCCGGAGAATCGCCTCATCTGCTCCCGCGATACTCTTGTCATTGCGGTGTTTGGTTGCTTGTGCCTGCTGTTTGAGCTGGACCTTCTGCATCCGCATGAGCGGCCGATTCCAATGCAAGTGGTGAATTTGAGCAACTCTGGCTTGTAGTGTGCCTTCGTGGACTTTTGTCTTGGTTCCACCTGGGATCACGACAACTCCGCCATGATCGGTTGGAGGTATGAAGTTTCGCACTTCATGAAAGGATGTGAAAGCCAAGCAGCAACTCATTAAACAAACTGCTGTTTGAGTTGAAACCAAGGCAACGGCACCTCAGTGGTGGTCAAAGAACTTCTCTTGAACCACACGTACGTCCCCTCCAAGCAGCAGATCTGTCCCACGGCGCTGCTGGTTGCATTTTGTGTGCTGGTCCCTCTTGGCAGCTAGGCCTGCATTTTGGCTCGCGAATCCACCTGTGCTTGCACCAACCTTTTCAGCCCAGACTGGCAGTGGCTTCACAAACGTTAAGCTGGCACTGGGGCATGTCCAGCTTTTGCAAATTATTTGCTTTGGCTCTTCTGAAGGCAAACGTTGCCGGTCAGTTTGACCATGCGGAAAGCTGAAACTGCGCGACACAACACCAACACGCCAATCTGCACAAAAACGTGGGTGTTGTGGTCAGCTTTGCAGGGTTTTTGTGCCCGCTTGGCGGAGAGCTGATGCAGGGCGGGGGCGAGGGCAGAGAAAAGCAATTCTCGTATTGGGCAGGGGCCTCCATAAATTCGAAGTTCAGAGCAACCCTTCCATCCTGGCATCCTTCTGAAAAGCATGCGCTAGCTGAGCAAAACTTGAAGCAGCGGCCCTGTGTAACGAGACACCATTTGGTGACTTAGTTCTTCCGACCTTCAGCATGTCTCGTACATTCGGCTGGAACCAGATGGGAGCCGAAAGCTTGTGGGACTATTCTCGCCACACCACCACCCCTGAGGGCTAAACGATATTGCATGCATAACAGGCAGCCCCATCATACTTCAACACCTCAGTTCCCTTCGTAGGCAACTTTCACGGAAACCTTTTAGAGCTCAATCTCCCATGACCTCCTCCATCCTCAGCATTTCAGGGAACTGACTGCTAAATCCCGCCACACAGGTTTTTGGATTTTCAGAGGTTGTCGGGCAGGTTGCAGCCCATGAAGGCTTACCTCGAAGGGCCATTAACTTGTTCGCAATGAAAGGCACCGAACGGCATATCTCCTTGCGCCAGTGAGGTGTCCTTGCAGTTATCTCCTTTATTGCGCCAAAGCCTGGACAGGCAGCTTCATTTTTGAGCCGCGACAGCCTCCACTGCATGTTTTGTTTCTGGGTCGTTATCGTATTTAGGCCCTGGGTTTGCCCTAACCTAGGCTTGAGCCTCTCCGATTGCACCTGTCCTAGGAGAGGATACATGCTCACGATGGCATGTACAATGGCTCTAACCGATTTTATCAAAAACTACATTGGCTATTTGCGGCCCTACTTCTACGATGAGTGCGGCTTCGATCCCGTGACGCGCACATGCTTGCATCCGAAAGCCGACGCTCACAAATCCTTCCCCTCGGGCCACTCCAGCTTGCCCAGGTCTTAGTCTCCAGAAGTGTCTACAACAATCAGTGATGCATGCTCTTGCTTCCCACGGCTCGCCGCCATGTAGTGTACGGGCTCTCTCCTGGAAACAGTGATGCTGTTGCAGGGCATCAACCCTAAAACTCTAAACCCAGCATAACCTGAATTTTGCCTCCTTTGTAGGGGCCTAAAAACTTGGGATCCCGCGGGGCCAGAAGGCATTCCAGCAGCTCACAGGTGGAAAAGGGCGTGTTAAAAAAAGACTACGCCCTATTCAAGCTGAGGTCATTTAGCTCAATGCTCTTCACTTCGCTTTTCCTCGTCGGTAAGGCGTGAGCCAACAATTTTCAGTACGATAGTCAAGTTAAGGATCCTTGTTGCGTTTTCCATGGATGCTCCTGCTGTGCTGCCCAGGTTGCGGAGCACCCGGTCAAGATAAACACTTGCCTAGGCACCAGCTGGGCTTGCCTTCAGCGATCTGTTGGTGTAGCACTCCTAAGGAGGCTGCGTAGATCTCATAGCACCTCCAGGGTTTCGTATATCTTGTTCATTAGCAGAGTTTCTTTCGTTTGGGAACTCATCACCACCTAAGTGAAGCAAATCTTGGCAACGGTAGTTCCTGATTTCCCTAATCCGCGGCAGGAACGCGATCTAACCTTCTCATAGCCCTCAGGCGAACAGGACTGTACGAACCTGGGCCTGCTTATTGCAGTGACTCCAGTTCTGCTGGCATTCTGGATTGCCGCCTCGCGAGTGCGTGAGAACGACCATCATCCAGCAGATGTAGCTTTTGGCGCCTTCATAGGCAGTGGATGGGTAGCTTAGCTGTCATGTGATGCCATGTGCAGGAGCAGCGGGCAACCTTGTGATGCTTGCTTGTGTTTGCTTGGCTGCTGGGTGTATTGCAGCTGCGTTGTCAGGCACTCTTCTGGTACACGCGATATTTTCTTACAATCTGGAAATTCGAAGGCGTGTCCAAGGTTCCGTCAACGGAGACCCGAGATGACGATAACGACGACGAACTCTCGGAGCCATGACAGTCAAGCGTTGGCTGCTGGCTGCGATTGCTCATCTCTCCGGCACTGCGAAGCAAAGATCTTCGAAGGAAAGTGTGCGAAAGTGGCGCCAGTACTGCAGAATACTGCAGACATGGTTGATCTTCGTACTAGCCTGCGTGAATGTGGCTCTTTGAATCCGGCGGCCCAAGAGTTTGCAAATAGGAGAACCGGAGCAACATCTTTGGAAAGAATTTGTGAACGATGGCGGGCCTCAACATGTGATACCCTGCACTGGATGGTTCATACCACCTCTCCCGCTTAGTTCAGACACACATCACAGATAAACTGACAGCTGCGAGCCAGGACAGTTGAAGCAGCGTCGCATGTACACCCTTGTTGAGTCCTGGCGGCGACCCGTTTCAGCCATGGCTTGTTGCTGAGATTTCTGTTGCTTGCCAATGAGGGACAGGACTCGGCAGATTCAGAGGTGATCACACGCGGCATGCTATTGCTGGTATATGCTGTTAATTAGCAGGCATGCCTTGAGAGGACATGCCTTCAGAAAGCCAATATCTCGGTTGTGGTACATGCTTGTGATTAACTCTGCACTCAGAGTACGGACATGCACCTCATGTTGTCGGAAACCTGGAGTTGTGACCAGGCGCCGGTGAGGAAGACTCGCAGCTAGCTGCATCTAAGACCATGTGCAAGCTGTCAAGCATATTCGTCCGATAGAGTGGGGCCGTATTGCTGTGTTAGGGAGGCTGATGCTTGTCAATGCTGAAATGCTGAGGGCTACGAGCACGGTTCCGTATGGCGATGGCCCAGACACTTGGCAATACCTATGTCACGCTGCTCCGGCTGAGACGAGGCTTGTGTGGTTCTACAAGCTGGCAGGAATATTGGGACATGCGCTACAAGGCTGACCCAGAGCCATTTGAATGGCTGCGCAGCTATGCCGAACTGAGAAGTTGGATCCAAGACGCGAGTGGGAACAACACCTCAGCGAGCAAGCTGCCAGCATTGGCTTTGCTTGGTGGATTCTGCACGGTCCTTGACTTTACAAACGGAACAGCGCAGCTGAGGTATCCTTCATCTGGGATGTGGAAACAGCCTCCTTCCTGAGGACATGCATCTTGACAGAATGAAGTCGGCGGATGACGCTTTGTCTGTCATGCCTGTAGTCTTGAGGTATGATGATGGCTACCACAACATCATCAATGTTGACAACTCTGAAGTGGTCATATCTCAGATGATGGAACGAAACTTCAAAAGGCGGCTCTGTTTACCCTATAACTGGCAATAGTGCTGCTGCCGTCTCGTGAGGCCTCAAATGCTCTGGTTGCAGATGGATGCTCTGGAAACTTGGCTTCAGTGAGAATGGTGGATCCCTCTTCTGACCTGTCCTCCACAACCAATCTAGGATAACTTCTGATTATCCCACAGCATTCGATAGTAGTCTATGCTCAAATCTAAAGCAACCTGCAAGTCTTGGCATCCAGCTTCCAGTTCCAAGGACTTGTCATTGCCTGACAATGCCTTCGACCTTGTCCTTGACAAAAGCCTCATCGACACCTTCGCTTGCTCTGATGATCTGGCCCTAGAAATGCTAGACAGGCAAAGCGTGGCAAACAGAATGAGATCTTGGAAATTGAAGTGGAGCAGATCATAAGGCCATGAGGAAGTTCTGTGCAGATCAGGCTTCTTGCATCTCAGGTTGAAAACATCATGATCTACTTGATGCAGGCCGGGCACAAGACTAGTGGGTCGAGTGCCGAGCATTCGCGCATCTAATCCCAGACCATAAGACACCATAGTACAAAACACCAAAGCTGACAAGTAGAGATTTCAAGTTCATGCGCCAATACCCTTTAAATGACACATCCACACGTTCAAATCTGTGACAGGTATCACGAGTTCTGCGAGAAAGCGGCGTTTTCCTGGTGATATCGTATGGCACTCCCGACACGCGTTTGGAGCCTGGGAGTGCGCCGTAAGACATTATGAGTTGCCTCCTGCCATTGGCTAGGGTCTCTAGATGTCTTGTGCCACTCTATGTGGGAATATCCCGTGAACATGATCAGCCAAGGAGTTCCTGACACTGAAGCACCTGAGATTTGAGGCTGCCTCGTGCAATTTCCCGTCAGCTCTTGATAGCTCAATGGGCGCAGTGCATCCTAGCCGTGCTTGGCATCTATGCAGGTGCAGGTGGTGGACTTGCCTCCAAATGAGACTAGCAAAGTGCACTATTTGTACATTTGCAAAAAAGTTGCCCCCCAGAAGAGGCATTCCAATGCTGCAGCAGCTCAGTGACTCATCTCGTTGAAGCTTGACTTACAACATCAGTCTGTACTCTTGGTCCGACTCTCCGACTGTTGGAGCGGAAGAGATGCAGAGGGTGTGGCGGAGAAATGTCTGCTCAGTGTTGGTGTCGAACTTGCTTGCTTGCTTGCTTGCTTGCTACACGCCTGCATTAAGATGGAGCATCATTGCTGAACTGCATGCCGCGGCATTCCCAGGGGGCAATTCGGGGGTCTTGTTAGCATCCCCTCCTCCTTCGTTTTGCTTGAGCCGTGCCAAGTGCACATAGCGCTGAGCTCAGCATGCTTGAGTCTTGCAAGACCAGCCTGCCATCCAACCCAAGTGTGTGTTCTGTTCGTTGGGCTTTGTTTCATCTTGTTTCTTTGGGTTGAGGCGTTGTGGCGCCATGGAGGAGGAGCTCCAGGAGGCAATTGAGAACATCAAATCCAAATAGGGCCTGCGGCTGCAGACTCAATGATCCTTGCAAGGTGCGAGACAATTTCTATGTAGGCAACTTCAACAAGGCTCGCAGAAGGGTGCCCGGAATAAGGGCTCCCTGTCATGCTGTGTGCCTATGTGTGCCTATTGCACTTGTTGTGACGTGCTTTCGTGTGACAGGCGATGCAGCTGTGCGAGTCTGTGCAGGGCTCCAGCGAGCTGACGCAGAGCGAGTCTGGGGCTTGCTTGCACTTCTTGTAGATTCTTCCAGCAAGCACTCCTCTACGCTTGCCACATGAGAATGGCCCAGCATGTTCTGCAGAACCTTCTTGTCCAGCGCATTGTGCAAGGCTTGGTGCTACCCTGGCTCGCTGTTGCCTAGCCATCCCTCAGATTGAGAGACTGAAGGCCTGGCTCATTCTACAGCCAACTTCAGATCAACCCCTGGAAAGCTAAAGTTTTTGTGTGGCCATGCTGGTGCCTGCTGGGCATCACGCAGGCCATGCAAAACTCCGAGATCCCAGGCCAACGTGCTGCGACTTGGCAAATTGTGATCTGGTACGTAGTGAACGTGGCAAGGTCATGCTCTCTGTCAATTCTATTGAGACTGCCACCAGCCACTATATTGAGGCCGCCCTTCTGGCTGTCATCACCAAGTCCAGGAACGAAGCTCAGGTGGCATCAGCTAAGGCCATCTGGAGTTGTATGACCCTGAATCTTGTTACGAATGCTTGTGCGCCCACCTCTGGAACAGGAGAGACTAGCAGGCCTGGCGAAGGAGACGCAGGCTGACGGCAGAAGGGGTACGAAGCATAGCGGCGCAATTCATATTCGACAGACAGTAAACATGCAGGGCTGCTCGATCATCAAGTTTGCTGCCAGGACATGAGCTGTGCTATGCTCAATGCCATGGTCCTAGCAATGGACGGTGTGCCGCCCAGTGCGACCCAGTTCTACTGGAAGCCAATACAAGCACTGAGTATGGGTAAAGCTGCTAAGGCAACTGGAATGAAGCAGCGCAGATGACCAAGGCCTGCCATGCCGACTTGGAGCTATTTTTGGTGCTTCCTCAGTTTTTGGTAAGGTGAAAAAGTCTGGAAATCGGAGGCTGTTTTTGGCACCTCCTGAGGTTTTTGCAGCATTTCCACTTTTATGCTTTTGGTACATCGTCAGGTTTGCGCAAGGTGTTACCTGGATTCTTGCAAAAATCTTAAAAATCCTAAGAAGTACCCAAAAACAACAACCCGATAAGAGCCACGGACCCACATGCAAACACATGACACGTACGTCTCGAAACTAGCATGGCCATCATCTCTCTCCTCTCTCACCTCTCCTTCCTTTCTCATCTCTCCTCTTTCCTGTATCCTCTCTCCTCTCTCTGCACCTTGTCCGCTCCCTCCACTCTCTTCTCTCTCTCTCCCTCTCCCTCTCTCCCTCTCTCTCTCTCTCCATTCCTCCATTCCCCTGTACTCCTCTTCTCTCAAGTCTCCACGCCACTCCTGTCCTCTCCACTTTCCTCTCACTTCTCTCCAAAAGCGTCGACATTCACGAGGATCGCGACCCCGACACGCCCCATCCCCGTGACTGTTGACACTTTTCAGATGCGACAGTGACTGTTGGCACTTCTGACATGCGAATGTCCAAAAGTGAGGCCAGTTACGGGGATCGCGATCCTCTCGGCCTCCGGCCGGGTCGCGACACTCGCGAACCCTTGGCGAACCTCTGCGGACGCATGCGGACGCCTGAGAACGCAAAGCAACAACGTTTGGTCACCTCCTGGACCCGTGGACCCCAACGTTTAGAACGGGAACCCTTCTGTGGAGCATTCAGCCCAATCCGAAACCATCTTGTTCCATTTTTTTGGTCGGTAAGTGGCGATTTTGCAGCCCTTGGCGTGCTTTCATCAGCTTGGACCGCCTTTGCTGCAACAGCCAGGCTCATCCGGTTCTGGAAATGCAGGCCCAACTGCTGACTGATGCAATGGCCGCGGATCTTTAGTCCTGAGATTTGGCAGTGCCAGGTGCTGACAATCCTCTTGGCCCTCAGTTGCAACCAGGTAGCCATGGCAGAGAAGCTGCTCAAGGACCCATGTGTGTGTTCGCAGAAGAATGTGTGTGATGTAGCACTGAAGCTCAAGTTTCTGGTAACCTGCCGTGAGAGCAAAGCACAAATTGTCATCAGGAGGCATCTGGGAACAACGATGACTCAGCACAACACTTGGAGGGTTCTCAAGCTTGCGAGCTTCAGATATCTCTCTCGCTGCAGGCTGCCTTCAGGTTGGCAGCCGCGGCCGTAAAATTGGCCACAGGCGACCCTGAGGAAGCGTGCTCCTGCCTGTGTTGTTTATCAGCGGAGCAGCGCATCTCAGCTCGAACTGACTTGACGCAGCTGAGTTTGGCTGGTGCTTCAGGTTTCACTCAACTGCAGTTGCAGGTACCTGACCTATTGCGATCTCTGCTCTCAGTTCCCAGCTGTAGAGGGCGACGTCGCAGCCTTGATTGCCTGAGTCTTCGTGTGCAGCAACAGTGCAGCAACAGCACTAGGATGAGCTTCGTTGCTCCAGGACTCTGGATCTGGGTCGGTTCTGCTCCAGACTGGCAAGGCAGACCTTTGGGCCAGGCACAAAGGGTCATGTCAACGTTTCATTAGGGCCCTGCTCAGGCCTTGGCCAACATGCAGCGCGGCATGTTCTCCGAGGCAGTAGAGGAGAAGAATGGAGAAGACCTAGCCTTGCATAGCGTGCCGTAGGAGAGGCTGTGAAACCAAATGCTTTCAGCAGATTGGGAGGACCTGCAGAGAGCGCTGACGGCATCACCAAACGATCCAGATGTGTTGGTGGGTTCTGCAAGACTTGTGAGAATGAGCGTTGCTGTCACAAGATTTGTTGCAGCCAGGTGAACATGTGCTGCTGCATGACCCACTTGGGGAAAAAGGCCCGATGATTGCGACCCAAGTTTGCATAGCATCGTGCAGACTTCTGGGAGGATGAATTCCAGCAGTACTTTGCCAAGCTGGAGCAGGCATCAAACTAGCTGTGCCAAAAGTCCTCAAGACAGGAGACCGTTTCATGTGGAGGGCGGCCAATGCGACTAGCTGACAGCCATGGTATAAACGACCGCCTTTTTAAGTTTCTGTGTTTAATTGTGGACTCCTAGGTTACGTCTTCCGGATGTCTAAAAGGGGGGGCGGCCCTCGCCAGAGCCCTGCAGAGGTAGTATTGAACACCCGTTCTCCCCGTTCTCCTGTTTCAATGTTAAAAGCAGGTGCCGTATCGGATTCGCAGGGCACAGCCATGCAAGTATTATTTTGGCCAGCTGCAGTACAGGCAGCTCCAAACAACGGCTATGTGCTGAAGACGCAGGCCCCGAGCTGAGCAGCTTGCCATGACTTCACTGGCGAACAATTCTCGATCTGACGCACCGCGTCTGTCTTTGTCAATGCCTGTGCTTCATTGTTTAGCGGGTGATTGACTTCCTGGCAGGGAATGGCTAACGCATTCGCTCGATTCAAGGCTTCAGCTGAGGTGGGCTCTTTTGCGCAGTCCTTGCATTCAGCCCGTTTGTGTACGTGAAGAATGCCGCTTGCATTCCATGTTGGATGCAAAGGCATAGGTACGATGGTGAAGCAGTTGTCGTTGTCGCAGTCTCTTCCGAGCTGTCAGGCCTGAACATTCCTCACGAAGCTGCGAACCCAAGCGGCAAGTGAGAAAGGAGATAGCGCCACCTGCCTCTCCAACAGTAAGGTAGACTCACCCTTCAGGCCCACAAGCTATGGCAGCTTGACAGGCGACATGTTCGTTTCATTAAGCTTACAACAGGAATTCAGACAGTGGTCAGTAGTCATGGTTTTGAGATAGAAAGATGTCTCACTCGACTCGGAAAACCTTGGGCGGATATCTCTCCTTTGATGTGCTCTGTCTGTAGCTTGAGCTAAGCCCAGAGCATCAGCCATGATACAGCAGGGCTTCCCGAGCAATAGGCCAAGGAAGAGCCACAGCTTCCTTAAAGAGATACACTTGCAATGGTCATTGTGGCTTTTCCATGCGCTTGTGAGTTCTACGCAGAGGCCCTCCGACAAAATCAGGTGAACGAATCTACATCATGTATTGGACTGATCCCCCTCGCCGGCTCAATCATGCGCAATAGGCCCCCAAAGATGCACACGTACTACTACTGTTTCAAAATACCAATGATGCCATGAGTGCTGCATCAGAAGGCCTTGGCTCCATCTGATGGTTGACTTGCTCGTCTTGCTGCATTTGCGGTTGTAGCCCGCTTCTGCTCATGTGCCAGATAGCAGCATGTTGACAAAGTAAGCTTGGCGGTTCTGCCAAGCAAAGGCTCCTGAAGGCCACCGCTGAACCACTTGCCAAAACCGAAATCTCCACTAGAAAGACATGTGACCAACTCATGCATGCTGAAAAGAATCGTGGTGCTCCACTTTGTTACGCGGTCTTTCAAGAGCCATGGCTAAAGTCACGCAGTGCAACCCTTGGCTTTGGAGAGCACTCGCCTCAGCAGTCGTCCTTCTGTGCAGACCCCGCGCATTTCTTTGATGCCAGCATGTCGAAATTGGCTTACGCAAGGTAGCAATGGGCATCAGTGTCCTGGCTGGTCAGGCGAAGCAATCTGGAATGAATCGTGGAATGTGCAAGTAGCATAGACAGCCAGACCCAGCACTGGGAGGATGTATGCTGTCTGTGCTAGGGCCGCTAGGGGTTTGCTGTTAGTTCATGTTATGGCCTGCAGCCGCAGAGATCCTCGTGGATTCTCTGAACATTTTGAATTGTGGGCTGCTGGCAGGCCAATTGCACAATCCGGATGCCGGAGGACTGACAGAGAATGAACAAGCTTCCCAGTGTCTGGTTTTCATTTGCGTGCGATCTTCACGCTCGGTAGACGCGTATTTCAAGATCGCAAGGTCATTCTGACAGTCTTGCATGTTTGAACGGCTTGCATGTTCTCACCAAAGCGGTCTAAAGTTCCCCTCCTTGCTAGTCAGCTGCCAGTCAGACAGAGACATGGGGCCACCTGCTCGCAGCGCTAGCTTTTTCTGCTGTTTGCTGCCATCAGGAATTCAATGTTGAGAAGGACTTTGATGTCAAAAACAAATATCAGAAGGCTGCCACGTCTCTTTGAATGGGCTTCGCAGACTTTGCCCCCTCATCACTGTAGCAGATGCCATGCCTCCTGGACAGGCGCAGAAGTTCATTAGCCGCTTGGACGCACTCGGCGCTCCAGCGTTAGATCTGCAGCAACCGTCACTGAGCCAAGGATGTGAACTTTGCAGAATAACCGTTGCGCACACCCTGGATTCAGTTACCCGGCAACGAATGCCCTTAGTTGTGCTGATGGGGCTGCTGCTCAGTATTTTTTTTCCGCAGTGTGGCCGGTTGCAATAGCAAGGCTGCAGTATACTTTCTGCATGCGAGATGAAAGCTTTGCAGGTTGGGGCTAGCTTCACAGAGGCCGGGGGAGACGGCTGCAGAATGGGTGAGGCATTCTTGCCCAACTGCAGTTCAACCACTAGCAGCTCTGGTCCAGGATGATGTATATGATCACATCGAAAAAATCTGTGATGCGCCCGCCCCAGTTTGAATATTTCTAAAATCGTTTTCAAGACTAATGTCAAGTGCTTGCTCAAAATTCTGCGTCTCGCCAGGTGGAGCCCCTGTTTGCAAAACATGAGTTGCTGGAGGCCTTGCTATTTATCTCATGAGCCCATGCAGCAAGTGCAGCTGCTGATGCATCACAAGAAGGGCTCGTGGCCTGAGGCCGACAATGGCTGGAAGATGGTTCCAGTGCAGGACTCAACACACATCCAGAAGCTTTGAATGTGCATCCACCATTTGGTGGCATGCACCCATGCTCGATGCTGCTGTTGTTTCGGACAAGCATTCTATCAATAAGATGGAGCTGGTGTTGTGACAGAGGTGTCAGCCTCTACCAACCGGACGGACCACATTGTCAGATGGCAGTCACATGCCATGAAGGCAGGAGGATGAGAGACTCCTGTCAATTGACTTTTGTTGGAGCTGCTATCTGTTTGAATGCGAACGCAGGAGCTCTGCGACAACATCATAAGACCAAATGATGATGAGATCAAGGACTGCAGCCGATTTGCAAGAGAGCCAAGCCAAGCACAAGTAGCGGTCTACCATAGCCGCCCGAACGCAAACCCTTTACAGCAGATTCTCCCAAGCACAGCGCAATGCAAATGAGGATGTGTTCCTGAAGCACCTGAAGAGAAAGAAGGGCAAGGCACAGATCACCAGCTCAGCTTCAGCATGTCATTCTGTGCGTCATCAGATGTCACCAGTGTGTGATTGATCGGTGCATCCCACGTGATGTCCACTTTGTGGGCTCGTATCGTGGGTAGCATATGGTAGCATGCACCGAAGTTGTGCAAACGACGACGGGTTGGGCGTTTTTGCAAGCACCTCGCAGGCAGAGGATTCCACGAATGGAGGGGTTGTCGACGGGGCTCGAATCTCGGCGGTCCTGCTGGTAGATTTGGTAGAATCCTGTTAAGAGTATCTGGGACAGGTAAGGTCCGATTTCTCATGAGCAGTCGTACGTCAAGCAGCCTGACCAGACAGAGACATGATGTTTCCCGCCGAGGTGGCCCTTATTGCCTTCAGTCTTAGCAGTAAGAACAAGCCCTTGGGTCCTGTGAAATCGCAAGAACCAGCATCAGGGCTCGAACTAGAAGCAGACTAGCTCAAGCAGCGAGCTTGTCTAGCTGCATACTGCAGGCATTTTGTCTTGGCACTTGGAAGAATTGTGGTGAGTCCAGGGCTTGCATAATTGCATGCTTGCGTATTTGGCTGTTGCGCAGCTGTAGGCTGCCCAACCTCAGAGCAACCCAGACGGGGAATCGTAGCATCCTAAGATGAGGGGTACCATTTTGAAGCTCCATATTAAGCACTGCAGTTCAGTAGGTGTCTACATTATATTCAAATCATAGTATGCGTCCTTCTGCATGGTCGGGCCGTCGGTTCTGCGATATTCTGGATGAAGCGGAGACTAGATCATACAGAGTCTCCAGAAGAAGCAGGAGAAACTGCAGGACGCGCAGCGAAGCTGACGAAGTGAATTTCCTGACAAGCTTGTCCCTCCCCCGCTTTGCAGGAAATTCAGCCCCATCCAAAGAGGAGAACGTCATAGCTTTCGCGCTTTACAAGCCCAGGCGGCAAGCCCAACTCAACAGGGCATGTCAACAGAAGCCACGTACCATCTCGTGAGGCCCATGATCACAGACATGACACAGGGAGGCATGGGAGAGATTGCGAGAAGGACGAGCTTTTGTGCAACATACCGACATACTCTTATCTGGCAAGCAGGGTATTTATGCAGTTTACGCCTTTGGACTGAGAGCAGGATGCACCCTGACGTGAAGCCTGTTGGACAGCTTGACAGGCAAGGTCTGCGGCAATCCCATCTGAGCATGTTTGCGCTATTGCCAGGTGCACAACCGGCCTGATGATTTTCACGACAAACGGTCGCCTCACTTGCCATCTCAACAGCCGGGGCTTCAGGAGTATTCCCGTGCTGCCAGGAGAAACTAAGTCCTGGACATGAGAGTTGAAGGGCAGCGCTTCAGAGTCCCCAAACCCACAACTTTTATCAAGTGCGGGCGTTGCATGGCTTGCCTGCTGTGCCCATTTTCATCAAGCTTCGCAGCGGTTGTGATGCCACGGACGCTTACGTGCCAAAGCCAAGGTCATGTGGCCAAGAAGTACCGTGCTTGGTACGATGGCTGGCAAAGTAGCGATGGAAGGACGGTCTGCGGTCTTGCAACTGCTTTCTAGAGGAAGCCTAAACTACAAGGGTAGTCTGGCTTGATACAACGCGTGTTGACACTCCAGATTTCCAGTGTCACGTGGAGTGCCCCCTTGGTCGCAGGAGCTGTGGCGAACTTACAGATGAGCAGTGCCAGCAGCTCTTGCAGGCTTGCGTGGGCCTTCTTTAGCCACACACACATAAGAAAGGCTAGGCGCAAAGCGGTCTTCCAGCGTTACACAACTTTCGCCTCGTGCTTCATGAAATATTACTTTCCTTGCAGGGTATCAGCCTGTCACGCGACGATGGGTGGGCCAAGTTTGAAGCAGTGGAGAGGACCCGTTTCAAGAGCTGTATGGCTTCGAGCTGCTTCATGTGTTTCATCTTCTGGGAGCATGAAAGGGCTGTCAAAGAAGTATTCCCCTGGTATAGAAGTTAGTGAAGCCTCAACATTCGTCCAGATGTTGCTGGGAACCCTGGGAATACAGAAGAAAACTGTCAATGACGCTCATTAACGCTGAAGACCCCCTAGACAAGAAGAAAGGCCGAGTTCAGTATGACAAAGGGGTATGATTTTTTTTTGGTACAGCCGTCATATGAAAGCTTCAGAGTTTGCCAGAGCTCAAGCCGTCTCTCGACGTAGGATTCTCAAGTCAGTTGCTTTGTGCTGCAGCCATGAATCGCGATTACTACGGCTTTTGAGACCAGAAGCTGGCGATCTGGCAAACTAGCGGCAGGAGAGAGTATGAAGAGCTGCCTAGCGTGAAGTTGCCCACAGGCTGGGCTTGGCTTGGCATCGCCATTGCAGCATGCATTCCTATCCCTGCCTGCATGACTGACTTGGATGGCTGTCAGATTAAGCAATGCTTGAAGCAGCTGTTCAATTGTAACATGCTGGAGGTGTGGAGATGCGCAAATTCCGCTACTGCGCCGATGTGCGCATCCGGTGCGGCAAGTTCCACGCCTGCGCCTTGCCTTCTGCACAGCCAGAGTCCCAGAGTCCCCCGCAGACACGATTTGCCCTGTACCTAGGTAGTGAAGCGTTTATTCATGTCAGTGGGTAAGTCGGCCTCTGCCTCAGTTCTCTCAGCCCAAGTATTCCTATGGCAGGTGACCGGGACCATGGAGTGGTCAAGCAATTGGAGTTACACTTTCTTCGTTTGCTGGTCATTGACGCTTTGTGCATGCACGCCAGTGGGATTCTGTTGGTGACAGAAGGTTTGCCAGCATAAACTCCACATTAATCACAACATCATATGTGGTACTTTACATTTTTCATTCATTCATTGCCTTTTTCGCCACCCGTAGAAGACTAAAGGTCATCCGGCTGGAGCGTCTCGAAGTGGGAGGCCTTTCATTGGAGAAGTGTGGCTTGCAGAGGCCGGCCTGGCTACCTCCTGCGTAGTCAGTGGATGACGCCTTTATGCCTTATACCTTGGGAAGTATAGTATCAGTATCATTGTCTAGTATACTGCAGAACCTCATATACCTGGGTATTACGGTCTTTGTCTTACAGTCTATTACGCTCCTGCAGGATTTTTAGTATCAGCCGTGGTTCTGGTGCCAGCCCCTCGGGTGCTAGGTAGGGAAACTCAAGTTGTAACATGTCATAGGCAGGCAACGTCCCATATAGTTCCTTACGATTATTGGTAAAGATGGCGCTACCTAGATGTTGGGTTTGTTCAGCTGTTTGCGTGACATGCGCCCGCGGCACGGGAGAGTTCCAGCGCTCCGAAGCTGTTTAAGGACTGCTGCGGGTCAGTTTCCACGTTTTGACTCATTAGAAACTGTTCAGCCGTTGCATGTCCTTGTAGGCCCGGAGATTTCATCCAGCTCTCTGGTGAGCAGATCGATCTGCTGTGGCAGGACATGTATTGCACAGAACGTATAGCAGGCCAGAGAAATTCAACTGTCTTTTTGTTCAAGGACTGCTCTTGCAGACCCTGAGGATGAGCAATGAGACCACGCTCAGCAGTATGCTTTCAGCTTTGCAGTGGGCCGCTTGCAGTTGCTTCTTCGCACCTCACGGACCAAAGGTTGGGCAGTGCGGGCCTCCTGTGGCTCATGCCAAACTGCAAATCTCCAGTGGCGGCGGGAAGGGCCTTGTGACCAGCTCTCTGACCACCATGCAGATCAACTTGATCAAGATGAAGCTAGCGGCTGGCGAATGCTTCAGCTTTGAGTGCTGAAGATTTGCCTTGAGGGTTTCTGGCGGGACAGGTGGAAGAGCTTGAAGGTGTGCGCGGAGAACGTGTGGGGACTCCGGATGATGCGCCGGCAAAGCAGAGCAAACCCGGACATCTCCATTTCAAGAAAGCCAGCGACGTGCTGCAACGCAAAAGGCTTGAAAAGACGTGGCTGAAGATATGAGGGCCCAATCTCTGTGGTGAGTTCCTGATGTGCTCTATCAGCCTTTCGGTTCACCTGAGCTTTATTCATTGCGGTACTACCTTGCCAGGCCAAGTGCTAGTTTGGTTGAACCACCGTTGTAGAATTGCGCGCCAGCAATTGCAGAACGAATTCGAATCAAATGTGTCGTGGACATTACATGACTTGACTTGCTCAGGCCTGCAAGAAGATCAAGCTCTGCTCAGATGCCTCCCCACGGCGCGAACTCTGAAAGTAACTTGGTCCTGATGCTCCCTAGCAGCTTTCTGCTGGCTGCTTTCCAGCGGCACAGACTGTGTAGCTCGGGTGCTGGGGCCGATTAGCGTAGGTGGCCAAAGCAGTGACGCCTTGGTTGAGAAACTGACGCCTTGCGCAGGCGGAAAACACAATTCACATCAATTCACAACCAGAAGTTATGCATGGAACCTGGTGAATGTGCCGTGCTTATCAGACATGAGATATCATTTGTTATGCTGCCCCCTGGCTGGTTGCCGGCTTCTGCAAGCTGCACTCAAATCAATGCGACAGCTTGCTAGTAGATGTAGTACATGCCACCACTACCAACTTATCATCGAAAAGCCAACCACCGCACTGAATAGATCTGGCAGTAGCAGCGGTATTGCTGCAATCGTTTCAGCCATGGGTGCGGATGGCGGCCTGAGGCTTCAGCAGCGTTGCATGGAAGTTGCAAGCGTCCGGAGCGTCATGGTTTGGAGATACGAGGCATGTGGTGCACAAGCGTGTGCACCTTGCATTGGCCTCGGATGTTTTGGCCCATGATGTGATATGTTCTGCCAAAATTGCTTTGTGACCTTCTCCGATTGTCTCCCTCTTCATGATTGGAGGCTACAATCGTTGCAACATTGTCTTTTGTCTTTGCGGAGTTGGCGAGTTGCGTTGCAAATTCCCAGTCCTTCGCCCAGGAGCGCCACCAGCCCAAGCATCGTCGCAAATTGGGGTACCTGGAGAAGCACAAGGCGGCTTTGCACAATCAACTGCCACTATGAGAACACTTATCCAGATAGCTTGCTTGCTTGCTTGCGATTTTCAGGATTATGTCAAGCGGGCCAAAGATTTTCACAAGAAAGAGGACATCATCAAGGATCTGCATAGGAAGGCCTGCGATACTGTGCAGCGCTGTCCATTGTAGATGTTGCCCTGATTCTGCGCGTATGATTGCAGGCGTACTTCAAAAACGAAGATGAGTTTGCATATGGGATGATGAGTCACAGCACCACAAAAGCCAGGAGCCTAGTGACATGACATGCGCATTGTAATTGTTGGTTTCCTAACTTCCCACCGCGACTTGGCTGAAACGCTTAGTTTGGAGTGGGCTGGTAGTTGAACAACATGGGAAGCGGTATGAGTCCAGACTGTGAAATCTGAAGTGAGTGGATCCGAGGATGGAAAGAAGCAGAAGAAGAAGGTCCACCTGTCACAGGTCCCTTAGTGTGGCAGCGCTGGCTGTTGAGTGACTCTAACGGAAAAGCACACAACAGCAATGGGAAAACCAGTCCCAGATTCAGAAGGGCCGTGTGGCGTTGGCTCCACAGCAGAACTTAGGTTTCATTTGGCCGAGCGAAAAACAACCCAGGTACGTTGATGTGCTTTCAGCGTTCCCAGCTGCTTGAGTTAAGAAGGCAACTCACGTGATGGAAGAGAGTTAAGACAGAGCGCTGCATGTCTTGGCAAGATCCCCTTGAGATAAACATTTAGCTTCAGAATGGCAAACATGACTCAAGCTGCCATGGCCCCATGCGCAGCGATCAGTGCAGCGGAGCCAATAGGAGCGACGATGCCTGATAGTCATCCTCCGTAGGTTGGACCTGGCTTAAAGAGATCCAGATGAAAGCAATCACGACATGTGCACAGCAGTAGGGGATGCTTGCAGGACTCCTCACCGCAGCTCAGATGCGACATTCAAATTCAACCTCCGCCTGGCCGCTGCGCGCACGAGCGATGCTCAATCATCGCAAAGAGTGCGCAGTTGGAGTTCGAAGCAAGACGGGGAAATCAGCTGAAGCCCAGGTCCTGGGAACAAAGTTCGAAGCTTCTTCAGCAGGACCGCTCCTTGAACCACTTCTGCAAGACCGCATCCTGCTGCAGACTGTGCAAAACTGAGAATGAAATTCTCTGGATGCCAGGCGAGACAGGAACAGCTTCAGCTCGATGTGGTCACTCGACATGGATCAGATGCAAGAGATTGGATAACAGTAGTGCTGTCGTAATTGATCTCAGCCGAGCCTCAGCCCTTTGTTGGGCAGCAAGTTGAAGCAGAGATATGGTCCCCAGCCGCCTTCTGATGGTAAGAACTGCTCAAAGTGCTACAGTGGGATCCTTGAGGCCTCTAGTTTTGTGCCCCTTTTTGCTGTCTGCCTCTCAGCATGTGCGGAAGTGTTAAGTGTAGTACAATGGCTCCTTGCCAACATGGCAGTCGTCCGCTAGTTTGGCCTTGCAGTGGCCTCGCCTAACAAGGCAGAGCACTGCTGCTCAAAGGCTTGAGTCAATCAAGGGGTCCGTTTAGGAAAAGAGAAGCAACGATCCGCAAGCCGCCGAGGTCACCTACATCACTGCAGCATCCTCTCTGGGCGCAGCAAAGTCCATGTCCAAGTCAATCAGCAGTCTGCCCTAAGTTCTGTGTTTCTGGCATGTCCTTCATCTCTGTGCAAGACAGCATCCAAGGCGAGCGGATGACGCGGCGCTGCTTCTGCAGGAAGCCAGATCCAGGTGTGGAAGCTCACTCCGCGATCAGCCGAACACCTTTGTGGGATTTGCAGGCAGACCAGACCTACAACAACCTTGAGCACTGCCGTCGCTACCGCGTATGCTGCCCTTCATCACTGGGACCTTTAGGGAACGAGGTAGACAGGGATACGTCACTTTGCCCCACTCTTCGCATCTAAACTCTAGACTTTGCCATTGCCGCGAGCTTCAAACAAGATGCAGCAGTGAAGAACAATGTGAACAACCAGTGCTGTGGAAGCTCGGAATGCAGGAGCAAACGACAATCATCATGGAGACCATGAGAAGGCTTTGTTCAACGTTGCCCATATCCACCCTTAACCCAAAGCAGTGCTGTTCGGCTCTTTTGATAAGGATGAAGGGATATGTGCAAGTTGTGATGGTGTTTTGGCCTTTTAAACTGCCCCCTGGTTTAGGACCAGTCTTAATAGCATTTAGCAAGCTCGCGTGGTTACCAGTACCCTCAGCAAGTATTCTCTGATTGTATTGCTGCCCTATTCTATAACAGCATCCCTATGAAACTCCAAGAGACACAAATATCTTCTTCTATCTTGCGAGATGCCGGTACATGTATACGGATACATGCATATATATATATACACACACGCATACACACATGCATATGTAGACGTATGCAGATACGTATACATATATGTTCGCCTCGCGACATTCATCAAAAGTTTTACGAGGTTTGGCAGGTGATGGGACAGAGTTGCGGGGAGGATGGGGTCAGTTCAATGGATTCAGCGAATTATTGAAACTTGGCCAGAACATGCGAGTTTGCAGGTCTTGGCAGCATTTTGCAGGAGAAGCATTCACTCAAATTCAATCAGTGCACAGCGATCAGTGCTTGGATTGGTTTGTAAAATCGGCACGAAATGGCACGAAGCCACTTGCTGGATATAGCAGCAATAAAACTAATCCTCAACATGTGTATGTTTATGCTGTATCTATTTGCCTTGTATCGCTCAGAAGAGCTGGAAGCCTGTCAGAAGTTCATCATCTCTTCTCACCCTCTTTTCACTCTGAAGGCGGCATCTGACTGAGACCTTTGCGGGTCCCCGGGTCCATTCTAAAGGAGGAGAGTAGAGAATAATGAAGAGGCAATCCTTGGCATGGCTAGCTATTCGTGGATCCTGCTCAGCATGAGCGCTCGAAATCTTTTAGTCCACCCACAGAAATACCACTCATGCCAATTTCAAATGCTAGCACTCATGACAAGTGCACTTTGTGATTAGTGGCCAAAATGTGATGCACCAAGCGGTCGCAGCACGGTTCATGCTGCTCAGAGGCAAGGGCCGGAGCCAAACGCCTTTACGTATGCAGCCAACGCCTTGGATTGTGGCCGTGCAGACTGCATCAGCTTGCCAGAGCTTTGAAGTGTCCAGTGGCACAGATGAGAAGAGAACACTGCAGGCTGCTTTGACAAGCTGCGCTGCCAGCTCATGGGCTGATGCTGGGGGACTCAATTCTTGCTTTCCACGTTACTTTGACCCCAGGATGCCATGAAAATGAGACCAGGCTCTTCTACTACTTTGCTCGGCTTGGCGGGCATCTGCAGTGGACGTTGTCTGCCTTGGCGCTACCGTCGCAGCCTTGACACGAGTAGCGGCAGCACTCTGCACACTTGCGTGTAGTTTGGGCCGTTTTGCACAACATGTTTGGCCAGCATCCGTGTCAATGCTCACATGATAGCAGCCCTTCCTGATGCTGATGATATCTTGAACTTCCAAGGGAAAACCTCATTCAGAAGAATATCAGAAGCTGATCGGTCACCCACCAATTTCTTGCACCACTGCACATCTTGGCAGACAAGGTGGCAACATGCACAACCTCTACTGCTTGGGAGTACTGCCTGAATGTTCTGCAGCAGTCGGACAGGCCGAAATTGCAAGCGGTCGGGCAATCTTTGCTGTGTCAACTTTGCAAGCAACACTTGCTTCCCCGGTCAGGAGATAAGATCTAGCAGATCCCAACATGTACTTGTGCCTGATGCAAAGGCGACGACTGCACGCCAACGTTGTCATGTGCCCAAGTAAGAACACTCAAACTTCAAGTGGCCAGCTCATGAGAATTCATGGAAGACAGTGAGGTACAGCTCTGTGGTCACTGCCTGCGAGAATGCTGGGGAATGGGTCTGGTTCTCAGCCAGAGTATGCAGAAGATTCGTGGGATCTGCAAGAGTGGCTCAGGAGGCTGCCCTTCGCACCCTCGAAGTCCCAGAGTCTGGGGCAGCATCCAGTGCCGTTGGCTCAAGTTCTCCAGGACTGCAGCAGACACGGGGGGCTTCCTATACCGCTCTTCAGGTGGTTTCGCTGTCAGCTGCAGTAAGTGCATTGGAGAAGCGTCTCCGATGGTCCAGAGTCGGAACCTCGGCACCCACAGAAGCATAGGCATTCGATTCAGGTTGTGTAGGTCACCTGGATCAGGCCATGCAGCTAATGAGCGAAGCTCCCATGCGTTCTCTAAAGGTGGAGCGCTTAGGCCAGCATGGCCTTGTCCGTTTTGATCACTCAATAAAATTGCTAGAAAGATTGGATGTGATGAAGCATGGTCGCCAAACGCCTCAGCTGCTCCAGGGACATGCAGCGAGTAGACATGGAGATCTGGGGGTGCAATATGACGTGACACTGTGTAATTCGCCCGGAAGAGACACCGCTACTCATAATCAACACCGCAACTTACCGATACTGCTCACTCCTCTTCAGCCAAGTGACACCACACCATCTTTGTCTCTGCCGGCAGAAGTGTCAGTTGTTTGATTGTCAAGGAAGCCAAGGAAATGACACCGTGCTTGGTTTCGGGCTTGAAGCAGTCAGCACTGCAGCACCACACTTCTATCTTGAGACACCTAGCGGCCTCTGTAGAGATGATACCAGAAGATGGCATGGCGGACGACCCACAGCAGCAGGACTGTAGGGGCATGATGTTGATCCTCTGGTCAAGATGTTCTCCTTTCTTTCACAGCAGAACGTCACCTGAAAGGCGCAAGAGGTGCGCGAGGTGCTGAAGGGTGCAGGCGCCAGCTTGCGGCCAGGACGGGGTTTAGATTAGCCAAGTCACTTTACCCTTGGCCTTGCATCCTGCCGAGCTGTCGCTGTAGGGTGTTCTGATATGCCGTGCGTTCAGTGCTAAACAAGCCGGGCCAGAGGAGACCACTGGTATGTGCTGAGCATGCGATGGTGGGACTTGTGGAGAGACTACACATTATTTGCAACATGGCTGCAACAGGATCCGCAGTCGCTCTTACGCTCCTTTCTCGTGGTCATAGCCAGCTAAACTGAGAAGATTGAGAAGAGTGCGCAGCGGGAAGGCAAGAGAGTGCAGCAGCTGCACCAAGGACAAGCCTGTGCGGCCAGCACCGCCGGCTCCTACAACTTTGTCCCTCAGCTCGATTTAGCCAAAGCTCATTTTGAGGTTGTGAAGCAGAAGCCTGCTAGGATCAAGGCTTTGCTGCTTACCGCCAAGGTCAAGATCATGGAGTGGCACGACCAAAGGTCATTTCAGCAGTTTCGGCTCTTGCACATGTGGAGCCTCAAGCAAGTTTCGCACAGGAATAGATGTATATACATGTACATGTATGTATATATATACACATGCAGTGCCAATGTCGCAGAATACTGCATGAAACATAGCATGCAGCAGTTCAAGAGGGCACCGCGTCCACCAGGCGAGCGTCCTTCAGAGATCGACAACACC